CGGCGATATCAGAGAATAGACAGTCGCAAATCTAGACTGATCTGCACCGAGCCCTTGCCTTGCATGCTGAGTCGCAGACGCATCGAAGTACTTGCGTTGATGCATCCGTGAGCACGCGGAGACACACGCCACGGTCCAGGTCCCACAGCCTACTTCAAGGCTTCCCGCGGCAGCATGACGGATTCTGTCGGGAAATTATGCAGGCGCCCAGGCATGTCTGCGAACAATGCAGCTTGGGACGGCTTTGGGATGCCCCAGCCTCAGTGTGGAGTCGGCATGGCCGCTCAACATGACCCGAGCCGACCAGTCCTTCAGCGGCAACAAACTCTGCTGGTGCTTTGCCACGTCGGATCTGTTGTGGAGCTCTGAGGCCCCCCGCTATGGACAAACATGTGATGGTCTCGCCGACTGGCAGAAATCGGCAGCAACTGCCGCTGCGAAGGTCCCAGACCAGGAAATCCCCATCAGAACCTTGGTCTGGGCTCGCGGGCTTGCTGCGACGAGAGTCAGTGGAATTGATGTGGTGCTGTTATGCATTCACTGCCCAAGTGTTGCCAAAAAACCGCCAGTCACCGCACACGGCTGCGGCGATCTGAGCAGTGTAATCCTCAGATTTCGTGCAGCCGGCACTCCTGAATCTAGCCAATAGATGCACTTCGCCGGCTCGACCTCAAGTTGCGCTGTGTAAATCACCGGGATCCAGCAGTTGAAGCAAGTATCTCCACATATCCATCTTTCTCAAACTCACGCAGAAGGTCCGCATCTTGGAGTACCTGAAGTCAGCGTGGGTCGCCAAATGCCATTAACTGCGTCACCCGGAAAGACATCTCAGTGCCATGCTCGACCGTGGCAGACCAAGTGGACTTCGAAGTTCGGGATGCTGCGAGAGAGATCGAGTTGGCGGCGAACTGCTGCCACCTGCAAGCGTCGGAGGACTATGCGTTGAGCCTTAGTTGGTAGACTATCGGCTCATCTCTGCGCGCCTCGCTCGCATCAGCTTCTAAGTGGAAGACCCCCAGCACCTGCTCAACATATCTTTTTCTATTGACTCTGCTAGTCTGGCATGCACCTCTGCTTTGAGATCGCTGACTGTGACTTGCAGGATGCCGCAGCTCGGCGGAGCCGAGTCCATCAAGAGCGACGGCTGAGGTCATTAATTAAGCTACCTAGGATTGATCCCTCAACCTCCATCTGCACATGGCTACAGAGTGCAGACGGGGTGTAACACTCTTAGCAAGCATTGGGGCGCAAAACGAGATTTTAAGAAGAGGCAAATTCCCACTCGACGCTTCAAGCAAAGCTTCGAACATATCAATGTATGTCTGGTGATGCTCCAGGTCGCATCTGCACATGACACGGCGATCTCGAACCGATGCCGTCACAAGTCTAGCGAGCAGGCCTCTTTTCCTGTCGATCTCAGACATAAGGCTCACCAAGGCGAAGAGGATAGCTCTTGCACCCTCTGCACAATTCAAAGGCGCTGCACCTATGCTGCACTGCACGCTGTACTACTCGTGGAACTCACAACTTCAGCCTGTTGGCAATTGCCTAAGCGCGTTCTGGCTTCAACTCTGCGATTCGCGGTGCCGCTGTCTTGCTTGGGCTCTCGGCTTCGTATGCCTCGGTAATTTGCTGAAACCTCAGTCAAGTGAAAGCAATCGCGCCCTTGCAGCGGGCCCCGCTTCTCGCCTTTCCAAGTGCTGGGCCGCCTGGTTGCTTCCTCAACGTTGTCGGGATGCTTGTCTGGATGGCAGTCTCTAGCTAGCCGGCGATAGTGTCGCCTGCGGTTTGGAGACGAGAATGATCGGAAGAATCAACGAAGCGACTAGACACGATACAGACTGGCACAAACAGCGGCAGCGAAAGGACAAGATGGGTCTATGTCATTGATAAGGTGAATTAAAGGAGGCGGGTCTCTGGCAGGAATGCCCTTGAAACGGAGAAATGCTGAGATCTGCATACGACCACCCCTTGCACAGCTCTTGCATTTATTCGCGGCCCCTTTGCGGCCTGCCACCAACACGTATGTGAGAAGAGTGGGGAAGCCTTAATGATGTTGGGGACAAAGCGTGACAGGTCCATGAAAGCCGCCGTGAGATAACCACTCTTGTGCAGAATCCTGTCTGGCATCATACGATGCGCTAGTTTACCAGTGGCCAACATTTTTCACAGTTTAGGTATATATGTTTACTTGTCAACATGCCGCCCGGCGTCTGATTGCCTGACTGTCTTGGGGGGCCTGGAGCAGAGGGGGTAGCAAGACCTGCGCAGAACTACCTTTGGGCACCCTCGAGATGAAAGCAGGTGGGATGCCCAGAAAACTTCGAAAGCATCGGCTTTGAAGAGTCCACCTCCCCGGCACTCCATTCGCAACCAAGGCAGGAGCGAAAACATGCTACTTGTACAAGCAACGTGAGCTCCAGATTTCTGTGTCTTTGTCAGCGTTCCGTTGTCCTGGGTCCGATGTGCACGAAACTGTGGTTTTTATCACACATTGACATCTGAAGAGGAACGTCGTTTCGGGGAAGGGCACGATCCTGGAAAGGCATCGCGCACGACACCGGAGGTTTGCATTTTAGATCATGTTGGACTGATTACGAGCACATTTTGAAAGCAATCGCTTGACTAAATGTTGTCGGAGTCTGCGCTGCCTGAATCGTGCTGGTCTCTGTTGTGAGGTTTGCGACCGTTGATTGGTTGGTATCCTGCCTCACCCAGTTGCACTGGCTGCGCACCCCACTCGACTTCGTGTGACTTCGCCGTCGTTGAAAACAACCGTATGCTGCCTACCTCATTCTCAATCTATTTTTTGAATTTGTCGACGCGTGGCTGGGCTCTGCATACTGCTTTTGGTCCAGCTGATGCGCGGTTGCATTTTTTCCTCGCCAAATCATCCGATACAACTTCTTCTGCTCCAAATATCAATGCTTGCCCCAATGCTTCGAATGATTACATCGAAGCTCTGCTGTTTGGTTACATTCGCCTTGACAGTTGGACTTTGGCCTCTCTTATATTCAAGCACTCTTCCTGTCTTTGTGCAGGCAGCCTGCAGCTGGTCGTCGAACATATGTCGTTTGGGTTGCTGCCTCGAAGTATGTAGTGGCTTGCTCTTCATGGCAATTGCTAAGTACTGGTGTTCGTCCTGTGCGACCTCGTTCCCTTGACTACTTCTGTTGGTCTTTTCCGTCTGTTCCTGTCTGAGTGTGAACACAAAGGGAAGGGCCCATTGCATTGCACCCTCTTTTCCACGGCTGTTCCTCTCCCTTTCTCAGGTCTCTGCGGGCCCATCCCACCCTCCGCTGTTTACGAGCGAAGACCTGTTCTTGACAGTCGAAGGCTGTGGTGGCTCTGTTTGCGGCAGAATGTCGTGTGACACTTGCGAACTCTATTTCCATCTAGCCGCCCATAACATCGTAGCCTAGCAGGTTTGCAGCTGTCGGCCCGTGATGTTGCTGAAGAAACGGGTGCAGACGGCATGCCTGATAACTTCAGGCGGCGTGGTCTCAGCCTGGCATGAACATTGGCACATTCAATGCTCTAGCCTAGAGACTACTCACATCATGCGATCATGTGCAACGCTGTCAAGTCTTTTACCGCGACAAGACTTGCACGCCATCTCAGCGAGAAATGTGAAGGCAATTCGACTGTTCTGTCTTTCTCAGTACAGTATCGCGGGTTCGAAAATCAAGCGGGTGGCTGCCTGGCGTCGGGTGAGGGTATGCCATGCCCGAGGGGCGTTCGACTCTACTCTTTGGGGCATAGGATGCGTCACATGAGGCGTGTCAAGGGCGTCCAACTCTGCATTTCTACATGATGCAGCCAGCAGGTTCACACCATCCGGGGAATTGATGTTGGTGCTCTGGTGCCGCCAAACTCACAGGTCCAGGTTCCGGTTAGGCCCGGTTAGGCTTAGAGTCTTAGAGACAGTCTTGAGTGCCCGCCGCGAGATGCTCGGATCTCATCGATGTGAAGGGCCAGCAGTTCTCGGCTCCCTGAACTCCGCTTGTCTCTGTTGGCGATGCTCCTCAGCTGCCTCTGCTTCGCGAGCCAGAGGCCTCGCTGGTCTTCTTCCTGACGAGCTGCCTGAGACGCTTACGGACGCGAGGATTCAGCCAAGGAGATGCCATCATCACTTGAGCAGCATCGCCACCTGCCGTCGAAAACGTGCAGAGAAGCGAGAACAGCATCGCCCCCAAAGGCAAGACCGGTGCCTCGCTCTTCTGGATCTACGCTGAGCAGCTGCTGGCAGAGATCTCTCGCTTTTGGCAAAGCGCGCCAAGGACTTTCAGTCCAATCAATCCTTTCGACCTGAAACAGACAAGCAATCGAACTCACCCACTCGTGCCCAGCAAATCTGAAACTTGCTGCGATGTGTGCGGCTCCTTGCTAAGGGAAGTACTGCACGGACCACGCGCTTCGCGATCTCTCGTCGCGTCGCTTCATCTACTTGGTCCAACAATCGTCCGCGGAGCACCTGCAGTGGTGCTAGTACACTGCGGCTGTGACTGAAATTCTGCTTCAACCCCAGACCGAGACCTGAGGGCCTGGTAGACCGCATCATGGAAGGGGCATGTGCAGCCGATCATCTGGAAAAGCATGACCCCAACCTCGGGACCACGGTCGCACTTTGCGATAAGCCACCTTTATTCTGGATGCATCCACGTGGCGGCAAAGAGATCGCCAGCTTGAGTTGATGCACCGACATACTCCTCCGGAGCCATGTAGCCAGGAGTCCCACATATCTTGGGTTTGGAAGATCCTTCTGAGGCAGTATCCAAGTCGATGATGCGTGCCTGTGCCACGAGCTGGTGTCTTGTCCATGCCGTCTTGAACTGGGTCGGGCACTTCCACCTGAGCACTGATCTCTTCACCGAAACCCAAGCCTGTGGATGCTTCGCGTGTTTGGAGAGCAGCTCCTGGTAGTCTTGCCACTGAAGTAATACATTTTCAGGCTTGATGTCGCCATGAATGAAACCATTGGCGTGCAAGTGAGCCAGCCCTCGGCACAGGCCGCGAAAGACTCGCTTGATCCACTGCTCCGTCGTGGACGCATCGGACACAATGACTTGGAAAAGGGAGCTTCCTGCAAAGACAACATCGAACTCAGCATAATGGCACACCTCGTCTTCCAGCAAATGCTGTGGATGTACAATATTGGGATGGTGTGGCAAACGCATGAGCTTCAGTTGGTTCTCGATGACTGCATCCAGCTCCCTCTTGGCAAATGCAGCTTTGTACCAAAGCTTCACTATGCAAGGTCTGCGCTCATGAAAATCTTCACAGAAATACACCCGTCTACCACTGCCCTCATGAAGCAGCTCAAGCAGCGTGTAGTGGTCCCTGATCGTTTTCGGAGAATGGATGCGGAGAATGCCCGAATCCGCGATACTTCTCTCGATGGGTTCCACCGGGGCTTCCTCCTCCTCAGAAGACTCGGACGACGACTCCAAAACTCCACCGGTTCTCTGCATCATTAGATTGAAAGCCCTTTGCGCTGCTTCCTTCTCCGATTCCAGTACCTCTTCTTCCTCTTCCTCTTCTTCGGCTTGATAATGGAACGTGTTCTCCTCAGGGCGATTTTCAATGCCAACATCGCCATCGCCATCAAGATCCACTCCAATCTGACGCTCCAGGAAGTTGATGATCTTGACACTGGCTCTCCGAGCAGCCATCCTGCTTGGTGCACGTTGGGGTGTTGGAAATCTAAGGGACTTCCCGTGAAGGGTCTCAATAGGCTCTGAACCTGGCCAGGCTTGCTTGCCGGTCAAGATCGGCGCAGCAACAAAACATGAACATGAACAAAAGCGTTATCATGACAGAAGGTGGCATAACCTAACCGATGAACAAATAAGACAATGTAGTATGAAATGGTCTAGCATCCTCTAGCATAGCATAACACAAAGTAACAAAATTTCAGCACATCACTTCGCATTGTGTTGGAGCACATGTGCTTCGCTACATTTTGCTTCTTCTGCGCGAATACTGGGCTAAATTATGCGGTGCGCAGCGCACGTCATCATAGAGCAGCCACCTGTGAGGCATGATAGCAATGGTTCTAGATCATGCCATGCGGTATGAGGGTATGCGATAGCACATCGGTAAGTACTTACACATTCAAAGACACAAAGACATGTATGCATGTACATACACATATCCATTTGGACGCAAAGCCACCCGGCATGTACATATGCACGTAGACATGCATTCATTCAGGCAGGCGTATACCTCGCTTTACGTTCCGTCTCGTTTCAGCAAAGTCCCTCATGATACAACACGTTACATGACGTTCTTTGGACTCTCGAACACAACACCAGCAACTCGTCGGCACCTGTCAGAATCTGCCGGGATCCAGGAATCAAGGCAGTCTCATGCAAAGGTCTTCTGACGTGAGAGGTCTGCTCGGGTGGGTGCCATGGCGATGCAAGCTAGCTCGACGAGGTAAAAAGCCGTGCTCTACCTAGGGACGGCATGGGCCTACGTTCACCCCACACGATGCCAAGCAAGCTGTTATAACAGGCCAGTTTCCTGCATGGTGCAGAAGAATACGAAAGAAAGGATTCTGCGAGAGGCAAAGGGCAAACGCAATGAAGTTCGAGCAGCAGGCGACGCAATGCCTGAAATCACCGTAGATTTGCTTCGCAAAGTGCCGGGCTAAGTCGAGAGTCTGGAAGTGCACTTTCAGGTCTGGGTATGTCCGTGGACCTGAACAGCTTCGTGGCATAAGCGGTTGGAAGAAGCAAGTGAAGCCGCACCTTGAGGCTTTGGGATCGGTTTGGCCTCTTCGTTGTCAGTCGACCTCCCAAACCTGAACATCTGCCCCCCACCGCCGCTACTGAGCTTTCCCTGCCTGCTGCGTTTCGAGTCTAGGTCCCTAGGTGTCCTGCCAGGCTGGTCTCTTGCCGCGCGGCCTGGCTGGAGATCTGTCCGAAATTCTCCGACCCTCTACTTCCTTGCGCTGTGGATTGGACCAGATGTCACCGTTGCTGCCGAAGTACACCTTACCGCAAACATGAGGCAGGCGAGGGGGTCTTGTGCGGCTGTGTACTGAGAGACTCTGCGTCCAGTTCTTGATCTGTCCACATTTCGGCTTCTGGAGGTAGAAGCGCCGAAAAGCCTGGATACCTCCCGAACCTTGCAGCATCTTGCAGCCAGCGCAGGATTGCGTTTGCAGACTGTAGGGATGGTGCCATGTCTGTATTCTGGCGCTCCATCCATCCGGAACCTCTCCTGCAAGCCTTGCTTCCGCAGCCTGGTGGGCAAGTAGCTGCGACGCTGCATGCCGTGGACTTTTGGACTCGTGGGTTCGTGGCTGATCCTTGTCCAAGTGAGGTCATGCACGACGGGTGTCTTACGGTACTACAACCGCCCATGATGTACGAACATCTCATCTCGCCCGTGTCAATAGATTAGAAGAGTCGAGATCGCGTTGCCTTGGCCGCCTGCACCTGTGGGGGCGGTCTTGCGTAGTCCACCTTGGCGCGTGACGCACAAAGCCCCAAGGCGGCAAATCACACCAAACACCTCAGACCTCCAAAAGCCAAAACGGAAACGAGCTTCCGGCCCTTTTGGCACGATCTGGCATCGGTGAATTTCCAGGCTTTGGGGCTGATCTTGATGGTGTTGCCTTGGACCTCGGTGACACAGCGATGGCTCTGAATCTCAGGTTTGCCTCCTGATCATCGGTCCTGATCAAACAATTTTGGAGGGAAGAGGATGTCGATGGCCAACCAAAAGCAAAGCATCACACTGCAGACTCGGTCCGCCGCAAGTAACAAAAAAAGTTTCTCGTGCGATCGAGCTCCACAATCAAACGGACGAGATCGCTGAGACATGCTGAGGCACTTTCGGAAACCCTGGCACAACCCCCTTCTGCTGCAAAGGGACGTGCTTGGTTTTTGCGTTTGCGAAAAGGAACCCAGGCAAGCAATGCTGCTCGTAGACTGTCTGATTGCAGCGATTCCGCTGCGGCACGTGCTGCAGGACAGAAGATACAGAAGAAACACGGATGAAAAGCCCGGAACTCCCAAGAACGCACCAGGGATTTGGAGCCGGACTGTCGGGACGGTCCACACAGGCAGCATTTGTAATGCTTGCTGCGCGGAGTACACCAGCGCTCACCCCACCACGTTGGAGGAATTGCACTTTCCGAGCTCTGCCACATGTCTGGCATCCTGCTTTGGGCCCGCGTCTAGGGGTGGTGGTTGTAGAGCTGTTGGGACATGAGCACTTCAATCCGATTCACTTGGACTTGACGTCTGAGGTGGCAGCTTGGGCCTTGGTGGTGCCTGTGCAAGGCTCGCTCCCAGCTCCCATGCGGCAAGAATTCCGTACAACGGTTCAATGCTCGCCTTCGAAGCGGCCTTTGGAAGCCGCACGGGCTCAGGTCTCGGGTGGCACCAGCAGTTGCTATGTCTGCTATGTGCTTGTGTCGGGATGTGTGCTTCAGAACGACTCAGCCCCAAGACTCTGGCCCAGGAGGCTTCTGTGGAGAGCCGCCTTATCGCAAGTCTCAAGCAATCCGTGGCTGCAGGAAGTCTCACAAATCTCCTCCAGACACTTCTAAGTGCATATCTGGTGCGTGGAACTGACTCAGCCTTTGGTTGAACCTCAGCTGCAAATCGAACTCTTTATTAGATAGAATAGAACCTCCGCAGCGTTAGAACTTTCAGCCATTTACTATGCACCCTGCCGGATGCCCAAGCTGTGTAAGATGAAAACGCGATGGGAGTGGCAGAGTCGGATTTGATGCACCCGTTTGCACTTCGGCACCCCGCCATCCCTTGCCTCCGGAGAACTATGACTGTGTGACACCGTGCATGTGGGTGCACGCGCATGATGACACCAGCCCGCCGGCCCACGCAATGTCAGTTTCCATGGCTCAGCTCAGGCGAAAACTGTTAGCCTGGGTGATCGTGTGAGGCGATCGACGATATCACCTTAAAGGCAGTGCTACACCGCATTCTTTAAAATGCTTCTGCAGAACTTCATCTCACTCACTCAAGCTCCGCACTCTTCTCCACACATCCGCGAACATCCACCTGCATTCCCCCAGGGATGTCGAGCCAAAATGTACCGACAAGCGTGAACTGGCACAGCATGCATGCCCCTGTCGTTATAGTGGTCTAGCAGTCTAGCGGTGCACCGAGGTGTCGGCACCCCGCGACCTGGCCAGCTCAAGCAGCTCCTGAAGCCATGACAGAGAACCAAAAAGAGTGCTGTACAATGCTGAGAAAGGGCAGCTTCAAAAAGGTTCTTGAAGCTTAGGTTTCGCCTTCGTTGAGAAACGTAGCAGCGGATGGGACTCACCTCGGGCCGTGCACGCCATGCGCCATCCCAGATTCCAATTTCAAATCTGAGCTGCGTGCCTGGTTTTGGTGTCTCAGGAATGTCGGCATCCTGAGGCACCTGTGGAGCCTGAGCTGCCTGCCGCCCTGTCGTTTCTTCCGGCTTCTCCTTCAAAGGGCACTCCGGCTTTGCACTCGCGACATTCGAGGCTTCCCTTTGTGGTGCTGGCACCGTGACGGGAGGCTCTGCCTGGTCAATCTGGCTATAAGCTATGCTGTACTTCTATCATGTCATGTCCATAGCCTGGCGCCAGGCCTCAGCCTCATCCAAGTCATCGAAATCAAACATGCTGCCGTCATTGCCTCGGTTTGCGTGCTGCAAAGACGGCCTCGCTACGAGGTTTACGGGTAAGCTCGAGGGCTTTCACAACGAAAACGGGGAAGCTAGCGTAAGAATTGACACTTTACAACCGGAAAGGCGAGCGTGGCTCCCCGAGGCTGTCGTGAAGGGAGGTGCTTCCATTCTATATCGAAGACTCAAGCTTTGCAGGGGGTTTGCTCAGGTTTCACTGCAGGCTTCAGGTATGCGGTGGACCCGGCTTGCTCTTGCGGACACGACGCACCAGGGATCTGTACGCGTGGTGTGCGAGCCTTGTAGTGTCCTTCGGCTTGGAGAAGATATACGGCCCGCAGCTTGTCTTTTTGTTCAGCCGCTGTTTGACAAGCGATGACGAAGAAGGAGTCCTTCAACTTACTGGGGCCACTCCTGCGTTCTGCCGCTCGTTCGATTTGCGCCATCCGGAGATTCATGTCGGGAGGTGCCATCGTACAGGCGTTGGCTACGTATTCCTCCTTCGCCTGACCGACAATATGCTTCCACGGCTTATAGCCGCCAGCTGGTAGGCTGGTCACGATCGCGTTGCCGACCCTCCTAGAGAGTGGCAAGGGTCCACATCCCAGGCTTCGACGAGTTCTACAACTTCCACCTGGATTCTCTCGACTTCTGTGTCGTAGGTGCATAGGTCGGGGATTGCAGTTGCTAAAGTCTCGGAGCTGTTCTCCGGTCTCGCGCGAGATCCAGGTGCGACGTGAAATCCAGGCGCGATGTGGAAATCTTTGTGCGATGAGAGGCGACTCTCCCGCGACGTGCAATCCTTGGTGCGATGAGAGCGACCCTCCTGCGATGTGCATTCCTGGTGAGATCAGCGGCTCTCCTGCGATGTGCAATCCTTAGCCCGATGCCAGATCTTTGGGGCTCCCGGTGCGATGCGGACTTCTTGCAGCGATGTGATCCTTGATGCGATGAGAGACCGTGGAGTGAATGGTTGGGCTTTCGACTCCCACAGCTTGAGCAATCCGGGCGAGGCGTCTGAGTGCTCTTCAGGGTTACAGTGGTTTAAGCCTCAGGAATCCTCAGGGTGCAAAGCTTAGGAATTTCTGCCCAGGCCTCGTCTTGGTGAAGCCATTCTGGCACTTCTGCTTCAGACTTTGCAGATGCGGCTGCCACGATTTTCTTGTCGCCAATGGAGGCTGTGTCATCGGACTCGTAGGACATATCAGGTTCGGGAGGTCCAGAAATCTCACAAAGTCAAAATTCACGACTGCAAATCACACATAGCCCTGGCGATGCGAGACGTAAGAGCTCCTTAAACCCCACAACTACAGTATTTGCCTGATCACAGGCGACAAGTCCCAGTGGAGCAAAGTTTCTTCCCCAGGCAGCGGAGACATGCTGGACACCATCAAGGAAAAGGGGGCCTCTCTCCTCTGATGCGAATTCTTCTCTGCTCCACAGGGAGTCGCAAGTCCAACGTCGGATCGCCGACATGTCTGAAGGGACTCGGCATGTCCAGAGACACCGGATTGTCTCCAGAATCCGTATCCATCCCGACAGACAAAGACCCTCGCGCTATGCAGAAACTCGGTTTACGAGGCTCTCTGCTGCGACGTCAAAGCCTGCTGCGATGCGAGATCTTGCTCGACCTAGTGCTATCTCATGCCTTGGCCAAACCGGCGCCTGCAGGAACCGCCACATCATGCCAGGACTCACAGGAACGTGCACTGCAGCCTCCTATCCGCACTCTGCTCCGATGTCAATCTAGCGACTCGCATTGTGGGTGCTGGTGATGAAAGCCCATTTATGCCAACAGGAACACAAGAACCTCAAAGAGTCAGCTGGCGCCTGCAGATGCTGCGAAAGCGCAGCTGATTGCATGCTAAGTCGAGAATGCACTCAGGCAACCCCTTGCAACAATCATCACACCATGTCTGTGGTCGTGCAGGCAGCTTGCAGTTGCTTTGGGCTCAGGGCTTTGTTTGACGTAATCCTGTGACTGAGAATGCGGCGTCTGTCTTGAAACCCCAGATCTGGATCTTGGTCCTCGCATGTGATGCTAGAGTTCCACATGTGCGTGTCGAGAAATCGAGCTTTCGTCCTGCGAATGCAGCTCGTCGGCAGTATCAGTCTCTGTTTCCTTGCTCCTCGCCGAAACTTCCGGGCCCTGGCTCGCACCCGGAGTTGCGTCGATGGCTGAAGTAATCTCCCGTTCGGGGTCGGATGGCGTGCGGAAATCTGTCCTGGGCTCAGCTGCGCTGCTGTGCTGCGTTCCGCCTTCGTCTGCTTCGTCTGGCGTGTGAGACGCCATGCTCTCAGTGTTCTCTGAAGCTTTTGCACGAGAAGGCGGTGTGCTCGGCGCTGAAGCTTGCGCTTCTGGATGCTCAGAGTCTCCTTCCCTGGCTCTGGCTGACTGCCCAGGCGGCGTGCTCGGCCTGCTCGGCCTGGCCTCCGGCTCTGCATCAGACTCAGCCGCCTCAGCCTTGCAGGTGTCGGTGCCGAAGACGTGGCCCTGATGCAGGTCTGGAAAAAAGTCTGTGTCGGAATGCTCCTCGCAACTTCCGTCATCGGACCCGATGTTGAACATCTCGGGCTCTTGTTTGCAGCTGGCTTGGGCTTGCGCAGCACGGGGAGATGCGTGTTCTGAAGGCGAAGGCTGGGTCTTCTGCGGCGGCTCTGCCTGGCTCACTGTAGTCTGAGGGAAGGGGGGTGGACTGGGGCTGGAAGCACTGGAAGCTGTCAGCGTTGCGGACTTCGACCTCGTGGGACAGTACTTGCCAGTGTCTCGAAGCCGGGAACTGTACATAAGTGCCTGGCAATGCCTGCTTGAGCCTTGAGATCAGAACTCCCTTTGAGTCACCGGGACCGACCTTATCAAGCCAGATTTCGACTGCACCGTCTGGAGATACTGGGACTGCCTCCACGCCCTCTGCCAGGCACCTGCGAGTACCCTTTTATTCCCCCCGGAAGAGGCATGAAAGCGCGAGATCTCTGACATGTGGCCAACTAAGGACAGTCTTTTGACATTTCCGGCGCATGACCCATGCGCCAGTAATAACGGGAATCGAGGGACTCAACTCGCGATTACGGTAACAACACTTCTTGTGCATTGCTCTCGCCCAAAGCTTTCACAGCAAACCCACCCTGATATCTAAGTGGCCTGCAAAGCACATCACCAGTCAGCCCAGCATTGAATCCGCGACTATGTGGTCAGCCACACTCCAACTAATTATTAATTGCTGCGCGCATCATTCCACTAAACTTTTCGACTCGAACACGTTTCTGACATGGCTTCAGTAGTAGAACCGTTTGAAAGTTCTTTCAGCCCGTTGGCCTGGCTTCGAGCTCTGAGAGAGAAAGTCGGAAAAGTTCGGAGATGGACGCCTGCGGGGTTTCCGACCCACGTCAAAACCGCGCGCAAAGTAAACTGAGGAGCCGGCACGCGGTCGCGGAACGGCAGATTCCACAGAATCCAATCGACCGGCCTGAAGTCTGCTTGGAACATTTATGGAAAAGAAAGTCGGGTATCGAACTCGCAGGTGCCTGCGGAAGGCATCGCGGAGAGGATGGACTGCTCTGCCTGGGCGGGCACCGATCCACTGGAGTCAGTGAAGAGGAGTGCTTCTTGGGACTCGACTCCTTCGGAGCCAAGCCCTCCTGTGCTGCTCTGGCTTGCGCATGAACTTCAAAGACTTCAGACGGAGACCGGGGATGTCTGCATCCTCCTTTTCGCCGGAACGCGTAGTGCCTTCCACAGTCTCCTGAGGCAGCAGCTTCGATGGAGCAGTCTCGAGGTCAGGCATTCCGTGTTTGTTAACTCATGTCCACTCCACACTTCCACTTGGCCTGGCGTCACCGGTCCCGACCCCGAATCCCACGTGTTTTCACGAGGCATCTTGGGACTGGGACCTACGCACACATCAAAGAAGATCGCCTGCGAAGGCTGGTGTTTCGAAGACGAAGATGGACTTCTTGGCCTGGGACTCGAGTCGTCCAGGACAAGGCAACATGGGCTCTATACCGCGAGCCGTCGCTGAGAGAGAGACTCCTTGAGAGCCGATCCTTCCTGGATTGGGGGCCCAGCTCCGGCAGTTTCTGTGAACGCGACCCGTGACCATCTGACCAGACCTGGACGTCCATGATGATTTCCTCTGCCTCCTCTTCGCTTTCACCTCGTGCCACTTCTTGCCCCTCGGGTTCCTTGCAAAGGTGCCGAGTGAATGCAGAGCCGCATGCACGGAAAGCACTCGTGCAGTGTCAACCGATACTGTCCAAGTAGGCCCGCAAGGTGGAAGTCTGCGGAGTCTACTGGCGGAAAAGCTTCGGCTTGACGAAGGAAACCCCTGCAAGACACAGCCTCGGTACGATGGAACATGTACCAACACTAATTACAGAATTCGTGCGTGACCTTGCGTTGATGCGGGCCGGAAAGGGGAAATTATCCAGGACACACATGCAGGGACGAGTCACTGTGGGTGTTCAGTTTCATGATTTAGAGTGACTCCAGCAAAAAGAGAGCGAAAGTCCTCTTCGAGGATAGGGTCACCCAGCGACCATGGGCAGAAAGTTGTCTTGGGCGGCGTCTTAGGCCTGGAGCATTGAGAACTTGCGAGTCCGAGAAGCTTCGGCCCCCACCTGTGCCTTTCTGATTCTTTGAACGGAGACCTCGTGACCACGGGCACATGCATCAACTCTAATGAGACGCGGTTTTGCGCAATACGACGCTTGGTCTGATGGCAATGCAATTGGAGGTCCAGCTGGTTCAGGCAGCGCAGCCTGGAGAGGGGCATAGTTCCGGCTGCTGACTGCACTGTGAAAATGCAATTTCACTTGGATGCTGCCGCCCGATACCCATTACCATTAGCCTATGTAATCCAAATTCCAAACCCACGGGCCTCGGAGTCTTGTGGTGAGTCTCCATGGCAACCAACTTCCCCTGCGCTGATTTGTCTTGACTGGAATCTTGAACCATGCAAGCTTTGGGCCACAACCTCCAGGCAAGACTCGGAATCGGCTCGCCTGAGTGCCAAAGCAGGCGTTCTCTGGGCCCCGTTCCGTGAGACTGTGCTTAACCGCTTCGCCCGAAGTCTTGAGGTCCGCGCTTCTGCCGTCTTGTAGACCTGGCAGTACATCTGACTCGAAGCCATTCAGCTAAGGCCTTCAGGAATTAATGCCGAACCCATGCATAGCCATGCCGAAAGCTCAATCGTCTGGTCCAGGACAGACATCAGCTTGTTGATCACCTGAATGCATGGGAGCTCCAAAGACTGGCACCCCCCTTTCTTGGGTCTTACAGCCCATGCCTCGCACTTTGCATAGAGGCCAGATGCATCGATGCCTTCATTTCCCACACGGACCGGCTGTGCAGATGCGCAACTGTAAGTGCCTGTCCGTGCCAAGCATCCGACCCAGCAGCTTGCACTCTTTGATCAGAGTTCTCATTGGCACTACCTGCAGGTGGTTGGTGGTTGGTGGTGGTCGGCAGGGCCAACCAAAGGTCAAGGCCCCTGCCTCCAGTGAGTATCCTGGACACAGGACAGAATCGATAGATTCACGGTCATGAGTTCCGGCGAAGCATGCGGCGTTCTTTCATACATTGGCTGGCCTATTGGACAAGCAGTTTGTGCTGCACTAATGCCGATCTAGTTCTTGCGGAGCTCACCCCGCAAAAAGTTGCCAGCAGGTCATAAGTCGGCGGGTGATACGTAACTTCATCCCATACCCTGCTCGGTAGATAGTTCGAGCTTCGCTAACTTCTTCTAGTAGTTGCACTCATGTCCCAAACACACAATAGCGACCTAGAGCCTCCAGCCTTCAGGGCTCCAGCCCCAGCTCCAAACTGTGGTTTTTTGATGGCTGCCAGATCTATAGGTTTCTCTACACGTACTACAGTCCTAAATATCTTTGTACTACTCCACTACTACTGTACTGCATACTGCTGTGTGGCTCCGTACTGTTGTACTTTTATTGTACGTGTACTACTGTCATTCCGTACCACTGCACTATTGTGATAATGTACTACTGTACTACTACTGAGACCCCAGGCCCCCCAAACAACTTAAGATGGTCAGGGAGGCCGAGCCCCAGGTCACTATTGCGGAGTCAGGATGTCCAAAGGGGCGGAGGGGGGGGGTTATTATTCCGGAGACCACGTCAGACACACAGCCACTCACACACAAACCCAGACACGCACACACACAAACCCACACACACACACACACACACACACACACACACACACACACTCACACACACACACACACACACACACACACACACCACAACACAGACACTCAAACACAAACCCACACACGCACACACACACACACACGCACACACACTCACACACGGCACACACAAACAAACAAACACACACACACACACACACACATCCAAACACACACACACACGCACACACACATCCAAACACACACACACACATCCAAACACACACACACACACACACACACACACACGCACACACACATCCAAACACACACACACACACACCCTGCCTTGCACTTCTGCGTCTCTATGCATGTGGTTCTTGGCATCCGCATTGAAGCAGGGTTCTCCAACTAGGTTCATGTCTCCAGGATCTTTGACTGGCCAAGTGCTCTGTATTCGCTGCTGCTTGTGCGGCTCCTCGCTCTGCTCATTCTGCTCATTCTGCTCCGGTTCTCTTTGCCGCTTCTGGAGCTCATCTCTGTCTCTGGATCCTTGCTCATCCAGCTGCCCTGCCTCTGCCTCTGCCTCCGCTGTGGCCTCTAGCGTCGGCTGTCCTGGCTCCATGCTTTTGGAGCCTGCACCATTGTGGGAGAGATCTGCCGCCAACTCCGGAGCATTCTCTCCGGAGGCAGGCTGCTTGCGCTTAGGGGATGCCTGGCTGGAGTGGGACTCAGGATTTCCCGTTCTAAGCGCTTGGTACATGCCTTCATGGTTAGAACACTCTTCCGCTCCCGGCTGCGTGCTCTTCACCGGGCTAGCTTGCCGTGCGTCCCGGGGAGCTGTGTGGCTCTGCTTGGCTTCGGAGCTTTGTGCCATGGCAGCCGCGTGTGCTCCCTCATGCTGGGATTGGATTCGGTCAGCCGGCACCTGAGTCGGGCTAGAAGTGACATGGTCCAAAAACCTCGTGTCTCTCTGAGCTCAGTACGCTCTTTTTGGCAACTTTGAGCTTCTGAACAATGTCCGCCTGTTACCAGCTCTGAGATGCGCTGAATTCTTCTGTGTTCCACCGTGCACGGGTCTTGCGTGCGGTAGCGTTACAGATCTAGTCGGAAGGCGACGAAGGAACATCTAGCTTGTCTTCCGCCGTGTTCCAAGTACTACAGTGTCACACCATGTCACATCGCACTACCCACGCGACAGCTGCCATGCAATGCGCCTTGTCAAAGCAGCCTCTCAAATCCACACCTGCTAGAGTCTGCTGCCAGAGCTGAGCTCTGGCTTGGCAGGGCCATGTTAGATGTTCGAGCCTAACAGTACACCTTCTCGGCGAAGCTCGCGCATGCTTTTGGCCTAGACAAGACGTGCATTGCCATCCACTCACTGACACAATTCATGAGAGCGTTGCCTGCCAATCGATAGTGTGGTCAGGGTCAGAGACATCCTGGCATGAGTTGACGTCTGTTGGCATGTGCTCAGCAGTATTTGCCAAGCCATGGCTCTTGGGGACGGTGTCCTCGTGTCTCGAGCTGCTAGTGTTGAAGTCCTGGGAGGATGGCCTCAACAGCTTCAAGTGCGAAGGCACAGGAAATCCCGCTGGGGTTGGATGGTCGAGCGTGTCTGGAGTCTAGAGACAGGGCATCTGTTTCCCGGCCAGCAGATGCCAGCAGGGGAGGGCCCCTGGCCCCTCGCAACATCAATATATGAGGGTATTTTCAACTTTCGGCCCCGATCAAGGTAACATCCTGCGATCAAACATCACGGAGGACAAAGACAGAGCTGTCCTAAGTCAGGCACTCGCGCAACTTCGCTTCTGCAACATCTTTGTCTGCGATCGCAGCATGGAGCCTCGCAGTGCATGCAGAATGCGATTTTGGAACAAAGCCGAAAAAATTGATGCGACGTTGGAGCCTTTGGAGTATGCCTTCCTTCTCGAAGCAGCCAGTCAAGTCGATGCCCCTCGACCTCTCGGACTCTAGGATCTTCCAGGTCAGGTGCAAGTGCTACAACAGCCCAAGGCCTGCCGGCAAGGGCAGCGCGTCCCGTCCATTGTTCACAACTTGCAACTGGACGCGGTCAAGCCGTGCATTGAGGACGGAACGTGCACTCTTGTCGAAGTTGGCGAACTGTCCAGGACGCCCAGACCTCACCTCGAAGTGTTGCCGGCGGGAGTGTGCATGCTGCGACTTAGTCCTCCCGAACGATCTGAGGAACAAGCTGGAGGAGGCAGGCATTGTCCCGCTAGTGTGCCCGCGCAAGCCATCCAACGTGCGCTGTGACTAGGACATTGTGAACATCCCAGTAACTCAAGAGTTTCCGCCCTGGAGGTCTAATGCACGATGTACCATGTAAATTGTCTTCGGAGCTTTAATGCCACATTAGCATTGTTTCCGGCTGTGCTAGGGGAGGGTCCCTGTCTAAAGGCTTTCACTTCGTGCAGGGGGAATACTGCATGAAGTTTTGTAAAGCCCTGGTGCTGGCCTGTTTGAGCCCGTGGGATCGTCGATTTTTCCCGAACGATTGGGAACTGGCATTCAAGGGAGCATTGAGACACAGGTGCGGCTTATGCTTCGTCGTAGTAGCCGTGTTCAACCAGCTCCCATTTCTTTAAAGTTGCGGTACTGGTTCATGCAGCCGCATGAGCTTTGGCAGTAAAGTGGCCAGTACGGGCCAGCCGCAGCGCGGAGCTGCACACGAGCACGAAACACGATGGGTTCTCTACCTCGGAGGCTGCAGCCAGCCTCAGTTGTTTCTCACGTATCAGTAGCTAGCGCTACTCCCGAAGCTGCACCTCTGAACACCTGTGCACCACATCATGAGAACTTCTTCCTCTACAATCCGTACCACAGGGTTGGCTGAGGTTTCGACCCCATGCATTGGAGTCTCCTCTGCCAGCCTGCAGCACTTGTCGCTTCTTCCGCCCAGATACTGATGCACTGATGGGGAACCATGACATCGGAGACATCAGCAAACTCTTGTCACCCCTTTTGCTGCAAGGGATGCGAATTTGCCAGACATGTGTGAGTTCCAGCCAGTCCCCTTCTTTTCGAACACCTTGCTTTAGCAAGGGGCCGTCTGCAAAGTAAAGGCTGGCAAACAGCAAGGAAAAAGGAACGGGCCAGCACCTACCAAACGAAGCTCCCATACAGCCCTACATACTTCGTATGCAACATGTTCTACACCAGTAATAAGCCCCAAGTGTCTTCGTTCGGAAAGGACCTGACTTGCCAGCAGCTGGAAGATAGCTTACAGTGCAAAGCTTCTCTGCTTCGCAGACTCGAAAGTGTAGCCACCTCATGCCGGAACCGGGACAGCAAGCCGATCATCCACCAACTTGCATGTCCGAATTTTGAAAGTCGAGGTTGGTCTAGGCGCATGCGTCGCATGAATGTTTGCAGCATTTTGCGGCTCCGCCTCAAGTGACACTTGCAGGCGGTAGCTTGTCACATGCAGTGCAGCCGATCATCTTCAAAGCCATCGGTGTACTCTGTGTACGGCAAACTGCACCGGCAGGAACTAAATAACGACCACCTGGAGAAGCTCCAGCATCAGAAAATATCAGCAGCACTTTAGACGTACAATGTACGCAATGTAGTTACACGGCACAGCATGTGGTGAGGAACAGTGTCGGCCACTAACAAACGAGTGCCTCTCAAAGTCTACACTGCGTTCGTGATCTGGTTGAGCTCTGACGAAGACGTGCTCGTCCAGGCGTGACCTGCCCTGCACACGAAAGCTGAACTAGAACAAACGGTAAATACGACTTTGATGGCAAAGCCGGCCAGCCTCAGAACCGGCAGTAGTGGATGAGAGGTCCGTCCCAGGAGTGTATGCATCCTCTGTCTCAAGCATCTTGGTGGCTGCCTGCAGCAAAGAGTGATGATGCGATGCCCTAGTGTGGAAGTGCTGCGGTGGGCCGACTGGTTCCCCTGCAAACATCCCACAGGCAGCACTGCCCTTCCGACTCTGCCACTCTGCTCAATCGTGACGGCCTCCTCCATCTCATGTCTGGTCCTGTCCGGATGTGTTCGGTACATTGACTTCATGATTACCGAAACTTTCCTGGCTGGTCTAAACAGAAGGTCGGGCCTGGTAGCATCCTCCACCTGGCAGGTTGCATGTTGTTGATGCAGTGATGCAACAGACATTCGCAAGAGTAATGGCCTCAGTGTGGAGAACAGGAGCCCGAGCTTGCTCAACAAGAAGCCCAGCGGGGTGGGCATTACGAGCTTTCACCTCGTGGTCGGATCAGGAACTGCGTCGGGAGCATGTGTGCAGACACACATATAAACAAGCCACCACAAAAACATATATCCATATATCTATATATATATATACACATATTTACATTTGTATTTATCTATGACGTGAAGAATGCCACCTCGGCTTTCACTGCCGCGGCCTGAACCTGCTCTGCTTCCAGCAGCTTCCGTTCCTCACTTCAGTTTTCAAACGAAGCAAACATTCTGCAAAGCATGGGGCCCATCATGTCAGATCCAAGCTGGCATAAGTTGATCTGTGGCAGATCCTTTGACATGAGTTCTGCTCGGTTTAGATTAAGCCTGATTCCTCGAAGTGCTTCAACATGCATATGGAGTGTAATTATGCTATAAGCACGGTGAACAAGCTTGGGGCCTTTTATTCTCGATCAGTCCTGGCACCGACAATGGTTTCCCAAAGCCCCAGTACATAGTTGTCTGTCAGGCCCATTGGCCCAAGACGCGCTAAATCTGGACTCGTTTTCGCCGCCTTCGCAGGCCTGATCTGGCCCAAATCCCTCTTTCGGGCCGGGGATGCGGGGGTGTGGGCCAGACGTATGATAATGCTGCTGGTGCGGGCCAAGGTGTGGCTTGTCGTGCATTGATGCACTCGTAGAGCTGCCTTTTGCTTGATGTGCCCACCTTGTTGCACAGGCGAGGGTGACCGCACCGTAGCTCCCGTTGTTTCCGTAGATTATAAACACCGCGATGGCTTAGCTCTAAACGCACTTTCGCAACGTCATCCATAGTACCTTGGCCATCACTTCCGGACGCTTGTGAGGATTTGCCGATATTTCGCGGTAATCTTTGTATTTGACAATCAACACGCTCCGCATGCTCCTACACTTTCTGAATGCTTTTGGGAACCATTCTTGCGAAAGTGCAAGACTTTCATCTGATGGTCGGCTCTTCGTCGAACCTACGATTCGTCTGTCACTAAAGCTAGCAATCGGAACCAGTAGGAAGGTCCCAGTTGACTCCTGCGGGTTAGCATGCAGCGACATGATATTGACCGGAATGAGGAATGCAGCTGGAGCTTGAAAGCTTGAACACAGGTAGATGCGACGCCATTCTGAACAACTTATGAGCAAGAGCTTAACGTGCGGCCACGAAGCAGCGTCTGTTTCCACAGGTGGGAAGAGCTTCTGTGCCTCATAGAGAAGCATGAAGGGTTCCTCTCTCTGGACGTCAGAGAAGGAGACGGATCTGATTTCATCATCATCTGCCAAATACCACTGTTCATGCTGACCTCGACCGGCCCTGACGAAAGCAAAGTAGTGGCCACCATTTGCCCCCATGGAGCGGTACACTATCATTGCGAAGAGCAGATAGCGAACCTTTCGACGTGCTTTCGCCGGAGTTCCGTCGTATTGTATCGTGAGGTCTTTGTCGACTATGACTTGTGGAGTCCATCCTTGCTGAAGTCGACTGATGTGAACCAGCAATATGTTTGGAGGCCGGGCAATACCCGCCTGCCTCACACACCCCTTGCGAGAACACTTTTCACACTTCCATTCGCTGATGTGCTCTTCCGTGGTGTAGCTCAGCAGGAGGTCCTTGACGTCTACAACGTTCTGTCGGTCTCGTGTTCTCATTCCCTCGCCAAATGACGGGCACGTAACGCAGAAGCAATATTCCGCTCGGCTGGAGGAGGATGTGTCATTACAACTCCTGCACCTCACGGACCTGAGATGATAGAAAACACTGACCAGATCGGATGTCCGCGCTGCCAGGCTGAGGCCGAGTCTGATTCAACATCATTCCGAAGATGTGACCTCCGGGGCGTCGCGCGTTTTCGCCGTGCACTGTCACTATCGGATCAATGCATGAGGAGACGGTCTTGTCTAAGAGTCCAGCCTATCAGGCTGCTTTGCTCCAGCTGCTCCTTCTCTGAAATGGAAAGACCTTCCAGTCTCTTCGCTTGTCTGCACAAGTCTACTTCTGCATAAGGTGCAAGCATTCAAAGGCTCTCCTGCTTCAGTTAGATGAAGCTTCCGACGCAAGCCAGAATATGGACGACTGTCTTTTGCTTCCAGCGTTAGGATATCAAGTTGGTGCAACATCTCCGTTTTTCGGTGGATTTTACCTGCTCTTGTCCCATGCTATCTGCACTCAGTTCTCGAGTCTCCCCTTTTTGTCAATGCCACAGCAACATGTCTGCGACTTGTCTATTGCAGTAATCACAAACACCGGCCTTTCGCAGAGATGCAGCCTTCCAGCAGCTTGGAGATTATTAATACGAATGCCTCATGCGCATCTGCTTGTTCGCCATGTTGAAACTCGCCTGCTCGACCAGATTCTTGCAGCTGGCACATGAATCAATCGTCCAGGGTTCAGGAGACACGCACAAACATGCACACACCCACACCCACCCACATGCTTAGACGTCAGCTTTTGCAGAGAGGCGCCATTTGTTGATGCTGACTGCATCAACGACGCCATCTGAGTCGCCGCCACACAAGCTTTCGAGGAGCGTGCTGAATCAAGTTCTTTGAAAAGTTGGCGCAACGCCACTAGCCACTCGTCCTTCACCACGGCACCTTTCGCGAAGACAGGAGCTGGGACGGCGAGATTGTGAGAGCTTGATGCTGCAAATGCTTCTGTCTGAGTGAGCGACTTTCGAAAGCAAGGGCAAGGCTTCTCCGCAGCATTGGGGTATAGTATAGACATTGTAGGATTGCATTCAAAAAACAAACGTTTCGAACATTTCGTAGGCCGACAGGAACGAGGTTGACCTGCGCAAGCTGACTTGGAAAACGGCCATGGAGGCAAATCTCAAGCTAAGCTCTGGGCAGCTTCCGGAATCGTGTCATCGAGCCCATTATGTGCCAACCAATCCTGAAAGCCAAGGCACACAAAAAGACTGCGCGGTTTCTAACCCAGGGCTCAGAGTGATGAGTTGTCGTAGCTGTCCCCTGCCTTGTACACTCGACCACAGAGTGCCGTCTCACCAGGGATGACCCTTGCTTAAAGCA